TGTGTAGATGTACCACAGTTTTTTAATCCACTCATCTGCTGATGGGCACTTAGGCTGTTTCCAATTTAGCTATGGTATATTGTGCTGCTATGAACATAGGGGTGCATATATCCTTTCTGATTGGTGTTTCTGGCTTCTTGGGATATATTCCTAGAAGTGGGATCACTGGGTCAAATGGGAGTTCCCTTTTCAGTTTTTTGAAGAAACTCTATACTGTTCTCCACAGTGGCTGCATCAGTCTGCATTTCTACCAGCAGAGCATGAGAGTTCCTTTTTCTCCGCATCCTCTCCAGCACTTGTCATATTTCTTCTGCTTTAAAACAAAACAAAACTACCCATTCATTGCTTATAAAGCAAAGTATAAACTCCTTGTAATGCCCTGTGTACAGGCTCCACTATATAGTCCAGAAGCTGGTAAACTACACTGGCTCATAGTCCCAATCCAGTGAACCTCCTGTTTTTGGTAGATCTATATAAGCTGATAATGTTTTTACATTATTAAATGGTTTAAAGCAGCGGTTCTCAACCTGTGGGTCGAGACCCCTTTGGGGGTCGAACAACCCTTTCACAGGGGTCACCTAAGACCATCGGAAAACACATATATAATTACATATTGTTTTTGTGATTAATCAGTGTGCTTTAATTATGTTCAATTTGTAACAATGATATTGGGGTCACCACAACATGAGGAACTGTATTAAAGGGTCGCGGCATTAGGAAGGTTGAGAACCACTGGTTTAAAGAAATCAAAAGAAGAAAAATATATCATAACAGATAAAATAATATGAAATTTCAGTGTCCATAAATAAAGTTATATTGTAACAGAGCAAACATATTCATTTGTATATCATCTGTGGATGCTTTCAAACCACAAAAACATCTGAGTAGTTATGACTGAGATCATGGCCTGCAGAGCCCAAGATATTTATTACCTGGGCCTTCACAGAAACGTTTGTAGATTGCTGCTCTAGTTCAATCTACCTCACAAGTGTCGGCTCCCCTGTCCTCCACTGTCACATACCTTTGATGCTAGTCTTTGACTGAATCACTTGCCTGGGATTTTCCTGCCTTTATCATCATTTCTTTAATCTAAATGTTCCTTCTTATCCCTTTCAAGATTATAGAAACTCCATTCATACAGCCCTCAGGACTCAAACTCTACATAGTTCTGTAAAGATTTCCTTGATACCAGAAAGAAAAATACCCACTACTTCTGCTAAAATAACAAAAAATAGCCACCAATACAGACAATATACCTTATCTCCCCAACAAGATTGCAAACATAGAAAACAGTGTCTGTGAATGTTTTTAAACTATGTTTCATGGGACTCCATGGCTTAATGAGGCAATTGGGTGGATCACAGCAGCTTCTCATTAACCAATTTACACTTCAAATCTCAATATAAAACTGAAGAAAAGGAACAGGCAAAATTTTGAAAATCACTGACTTATACTATATGTAAACAAGTGTAGGATTTTCAAGGCAGAGGCTTCTGTAAAATAATCTCACATCTTACACTCATGCACACAGACGTCTCATTAAAGGACTTTCCAGCCCCTAAGCAGTCCTGGCTCTGTAATCACGTGTATGTACACTGACTCAGGTTTCATGATACAGACACAGAGACCAGGGAATTCTAATCAAAGCCCAGTAGTCACCCCACACACACTTCAGACACCAGGGAATTCTAATCAAAGCCCAGAAATCACCCCCCACACTTAGAAGTGGTAGCTGCTATTTAAACTGTCCAAACTAAAAACAAGAAAGCTATTATAGAAGAGAATATCATGTAGCACCCATTAAATAGCTAATGTTTTAAATTTTAAGTATACTAAAATCTTATTAAGATACTGCTGAGAAGAAGAAATTAACAAGATTGAGATTAGAGTGAAAGAAAAGAGCACTGTGATTTAACCAAAAGGATTCTATAGTATACTATATACTCTGGACATTTATTTTATACTAGTAGCCCGGTGCACGAAATTCCTGCACACTGAAAGGGAATTAATTAGAGGAATGCAATTTGGACTCTACTATCAATAATATGTGAGCGTGAGGCAGTCTGCATTTCTGAAATTCAATGACATGAATTTTAGCTATTACTTTGCCAAATAAATGGAATTTACAGATATCATTTAAAAGAGCATTCAGCTTAATATTAAAAACTCTGGCTACCAAGTCAGGTCTGTTTTCAACTTTTTGCCAGCGTTGTAAATTGTTTGCAGTATCTGCCCATTTGGGGTTGCATGTCATGGTTATGAATAAATTGGGCTTGCCATACTTCGTTACAATTGCCATAGCATCCTTCGTTACAGTTGCTATATCACTGCTGCTTTTTTCAGGGACTACCCTCAGAAGATGATGGGAGTATTATCACTTTACCAATCGGCACATTGTCATTTTCAGATCTAGATTTGAGATAATCCATCAAACCACTATATTTTTCAACTCTCAACTTAGATTGATTTGCTTTGATGAAATTTATCCGATTGGACTCCATTTTTGAATATGAATCCATGATAAACTGTT